AAATGTAAATTTAAGTATTTAACTGTTCTATGGAAGGTAACAATTAACAATCACCTTTATAATATTATTACCAATGACAATATTGTTCTCTATTTTAAGATCATAGGCTTGCGCACGGGTAGGGCTGATTGGGCTTTAGCCCCACCTGAGATTTTTTTTATAAGGGGGTGGGTTGGTACATTATGAAGACATGACTAAAAGTAAGTATAGCACTTTTAGTTTTTAAACGTTTGTGTTTACCCGAGAGACTATACAAAGCGATTCATTTAAAATTGAACACCCATTATTTCAAAAAGTGTACCTAATGTTTTTTGAAAGTGTTTTTTTTAAATATTTTTAATTCTGCTTCTAATTATTTAATTTTTTTAGTTTTTTGCATGACAACATAGAGTTTTAATTTCATAATCCAAAGCAGAATATTTTGCTAAGTATTTCGATACATAAAAATTGAATTTAGTGCGAGTAGTTTATGCGTTATAAGTATTTAAAGTTTATATGAGCGGAGTTGAGTGGTACCTACGGGATTACCCCGGAAATGTACCAATGTCCACTACTCCGCTCATCTAAACTTTAAATATTTATCTCGTAAACTAATAGCCCTAAAGTCGATTTCCCATGAATAATTTATAATAATAAATAAATATTATTGTTAATTGACAATTTTTAACAGATTGAATAGATTTGAATAGATTGTTTTATTATTAGATTATATTTAGGTAAAATTTTAAATCAATATTGATGAATTTTTCAGTCACCAATAAAAGGTTTACTTAAAAGTTTGTAGGGAAAATGTCTATAATTTTTTTCTTGTGTGACCATGACAAGGTGGTGGGTGATCAGATTGAATTTAGCCATACCTGACTCAGAGGTCTGCGCACGCCTATGTTTAAGATGGTTTACACAAATATTAATCACACTATTCTTCTTGTGTACATTTATTCCATGTTTTATACTCTCGCTTTTGGTATACTGTGTAATCTGAAATTTTTAACTAATCTAATCAAAACATTCTTTGATTTTCATAACTTAAATCTTTTTTGATACTAATGGAAATTAATCAATATGGACTTCAAGGTATTATTATGTTGTAATTTGTAGTAAAGGTAGATAGAAAAGTGATATCAGTTTGCAATATTATTTTACTTGTATTTAATGAGGTCTCTATATGGCAGTAGCCAGGATTGGTAGGCAAATAAGAAATAGATAAAGCGATAGGCAACTATAATATATTTTGTATCAATTATTATATATTATATTTATAAAATAGTTTAGTTAGTACTTAGTTAACTTTTGGAAAGACAATGTTCAAACCATAAAAGGTCTGAAAAATGTGATATTAGTTAAAAGCCATTAAAATTGGGGTTTGTATTTGAAAGGGGAGTTAGTTTTTCAAACTATCAACAATTCCAAATAAAGGTTTTTTTAATAATTGCAAAATTTATTTTTAATTCTCTATTTTATAGCACTATAATAAATGTCTATGATTTGATATCAATATTGAACTATTAGTAATTATTTATAAATTATAATCGATTTACAGTTTTAAGGATCAGAAATAGTGCAATATATTTGAGATTTGTGATACCTATTCTCTTATTTCAGTCTTTGAAGATCTATTTTAAATAAATATGAATAGAAAACTATAGGTTACTATACGTCGAGCCTTCAATATTGAATCATTAAATCAATCTAAAAAAAGTAATATGGGATCAATATTTATATATTAACATCATTAATACAATATTTGGCTAAGGACTATAAAATTGAAAATAAAGATTGCTGTTTTATAAAAATTATGATTTATTTTTATTTTTAAGGTTATTGTAATAAAACAGAAAACAATTTTCATTTTTAATTGTAAAAATGTACTTAAAAGTTAAAATAATAATAAAAAAAACACAAACTTTGACGTAAAAAATTAGTGTAGTATGTTTAATGGGTCACCTGATGTATAATAACTTCATTGGTTTAAGATTTTTAATAAAATCTATGTATTGTACAAATAAGGTTAATCACTGCTTGAAAAAATTAAAATTTAAAGAGTGCTCTAAAAGTATTTTAATTATTTAATCATTGGCAATGTGTAAAAAGCATATTAAATAACACTTAACATATTTGAATATGTTAAATATTTATTTTATTTTACCATGACAAACTTATTACACTTACATTTTAAAAAATAAATAAATAAACGCAATAGCGATAAAAAAAAAAGGAAATAAAAAAAATACAAGACACTATAAACTACTTGGTTTTTAGTGTTTTTTCCTTTTGGCAATAAATTAAAAATTAATAATGATAACTTAACTTATAATTAATTAATATGATTAGAAATTCGACAAAAACAGCGATATTCTTTTGACTGCAATATTTTTTAATATTTTTTCCTTATTTCCTTAATAGTTATCGAACAACGATAATTTTAAGACCTTATCTTTACGTAAGACCTAAAGTTGTAATATTTTATAATTATAATTTATAACCATAGTAAAAGTACCTATATGATACAGTGTGTGACATCAAACTGTTGCCGAAAAAAAAAATTATAATTATAATTGTAAATTATGTAATTTCTATTTTATATTTACATAATAATATTAGATGGTAAGATGTAATCCTATTGATAATTTTTTTTAATTATAAAATATACGTACTATAGAAAAAATTCAAAAAATGACTGCAACACACACTCAAAAACAAAAACAAAATGAAAGTAGAACACAAAATCATTACAATAATCGATAAGATTCTCTAAGTACTCAATGTATTAAAATGTTTACAAAGATGTTTGGTTAAGCAAAAAAATGTAATTATAAATTTGATATTTTGTACATACTATTAGTATTATTATTAATAAATCTATATATATATATATGTATGTATAAATATATTACATACATGCATATAAATATACAATTTTTTTTTGTTTATTCTTATGTAACTAAAAGTAAAATTAATACTTTTAATTAATTTTATATTTTGTATGTTCATAAATTATTATACAGCTGATCATTCAAGTTGAAAAAAAAATGTATTTTCTAACATTTAACCATGTGGTTGTTGACAATGTTCATTGAATTTAAATATTATATTCAATGATTTTTATTTTTAATAGAAATAATTAGTCTTTTAGGAAAAAATATATATTTATAAAAATATTAAATCATAAAACTAAAAAAGGTTTCTATGTCAATAGTTCTTTAGGTATTAAGATAAATGTCTGTTTCAGATAGCTAACATATTAGAACACAACACATGGTATAGTATACAGCTAATGTATATAAAAAAGTCTTACTCCATATTTAATTAACCCAAAAACACATGTATATGAAGATTAGTAAAATTGAAATAAGACATTCTTATAAACATAAATTACAACGCATTCAGGAAAGATCTAGGTAAGTCAATTAACATTCTGCCTTGTATTGATACATTAACAATTAAATTATCAGATTTATAGGAAAATGCAAATATTAAATGTTATGTGTAATTCGCCATAAATATGCATACTGAGTGTTAGCTATACCGTATAAAATTATAAAGAAACTGAAAATATTACCACCACCATTATTATCAGTAAGAGTTGCAGGATATTCAATGGCGTAGGCAAATCCATTTAGGGAATCAAAAATTTATTTTAGTAATTCGTGGACATTTAAAGAATTAAGTAATTAAATAATAATAATAATAATAATAATACAAAATAATGACCACCATTAGATATAATATAGTGGCAAAACTTATGGTTTTATCAGATTCATAAGGCTAACGTAATGGTTTTGTTTACAAAGTAACAATAAAATTAATATTAATTAAAATTAACTATTCAATGAATGCTTGACAGTTTAAAAACAACACAAATAACTCACACGTATATTTTAATAGGTATAAATGCTTTTTAAAAAACTGGTTATGTAATATAAAAATGTGTATGTGTGCGTTAGAATGTAAAAAAAAAAAATTTAAAAGTAAAATATATATTAAAAGAATATTGTTTATAATAAAAACCAAAGATGTGTATGATCAGAGCACAACCCTCATGAAGGCCGTCCGTGGTGTTACAAAATTTTAAGACGATTCTAAATATTTTAGAAAGTTGACCTCAATGTTCACCCCAAAATATTTCACTTGTAAATGTATACACATTAAGTGTAATAATTAAATATAAATGGGTATCAGCAAAGAGAAACAAATGACCTTTGCATTGAGAACAAACTGAAATAGATCAACTTCTTATTGTAAAATAACGTCTGTATATTTTAAAAACCAACATCGGTGTAAAATCTAAAACTTCTCGGTGAAAATAATATATAGTTCAGATTTATTTGAAAAATGCACACAGTTCTGATTATATATTTTAACTCTAAGAACTAAATTTTAATATTATACACAAGATTTAATTTACTAGTATTTACACAGAAAAGTATATAAAGTTGTTTTTTGTTGTTTTAAAAATTATTTTTAATATGAACACTCGTTAAAAAAACTTTTTAGGAATATAATTTTTTTTTAGCGTTTTATAACTTTAAATACTGATCTATTCTAGTTATATGACTTAGATATAAATATTCATAATTATTTTAGTTTGTATGTATGTATATATATGTATATATATACACATCTGTATATTATATGTTGTAAAATATAATTGTTAACACTACGTTTCCATAGATAGTTTGTGTTGCCACGGTTTTGTTTTTTTGAGCACCTAAACAGCCGCGGACACTTGTCCCAAAATGCGCGAAACGGAAGACCTTCAAGTCGGGTGGTATTGGATTTTGAATAATGCAACTTAGAGATTACTTATAGTGATAAAAACAAAACATTTCATTTCGCGTGAGTGGTCCCCCGTTAAGAAAAAAATGTTTGAACTGTTTTTTACTTTATTTGTTTTTTTTGTTGTATTTTTATTTATTTATTTATTTAGCTGTTTTTGGGTTTTTTTTTGTAATTCAGGGACCGTTTGGCGTTGACTTCATAGGTCTCATCAAAGGGCCAACTCAGTTCCAAATACGTAAAAAGCTATCCCAAGAACCGGTAGCAACAGCCATGCCATCTTCAGTTACTCCCAGGCAACTGACTCGGTTGTCATGACCAGCCAATATACCTAAAATAAAATAAAAGTAATTGAATAGCATTTAAAAATATATAACATTTATATAGTGTCTCACAAAAAAAAGTATCGCGTCTCGATAAAATCTGGTCATTTATGCGCATCCCCACCCCACACTACAACTAGTACCACCACCACAAGCAGTTAGCTGCACCAACGACAACGGTCGTGGTAGCAAGTAAACACGAGCAGTGTATAAACGGCAGCGACATGAAAACATCGTTCTCCGTCATGATACATAGGGGTACCGATGAGCGAGTGGAGCGGTCCGGTATCGGACCATAGCTCAGTCTACATGCGCGAAACGTTACATTTCTTTCGTGAGACAGACTAGTATTCATAGTTTTTGGACAAAGGATGTATAAAATACATTATTACTAGGGAGAGGACTGACTTCATGTCATATTAAGAGAATCTAAAAATCACATAAAAAAGGATTATTTAATTTTTGATGATATTTTTTTAACAGAATATGTGCTTAAACAAATCATAATAGTATTATTATTAAAAATTATTTCACTTTGACTTTCTACTTTTTGGTCTAGACATTTATTTAAAAATATAAGTTTTATTTCAAATTACTAATTTAGGGTCTCAGGGTTAATAATCAACACTAATTATTAATTATTAACTAATTTGTTTATTTATTGCTAACATTGTATTATAGATTATTATTAGTCTTTCGAGAAAATAGTATTTGCATTTTTATCTTATGTTCATGCAATTTTATAAAAATTAATTATTATACATTTGTTATAAATTTATAAATTTATAAACTAAAATTAAAATCTTGTCTTCTTGAATCATGTTTTGACATATTTTGGACGAAAAAAATTTCTTATTCCTAGAAGTCTCTACTTTTAATCATTAGATAATAGATATTATATTGCTTGGTTACTAATAATATTGTATAATAAATATCCAAAATTGAAAAGAGTTAATCATTTAATTTTATTATAACATGGCTAGAGCAAATGTATCTGTAAGTGATGATCAAAATTTCAGAAGTCGCTGTGAGCAAGAACAAAAAGCATTTGATGATTGGCCTAATAAGTGGGAGTGGATATTAGATGAATATAAGTAATACTGTAAGAAACTGTATTTAATTTATTTAATAATATATTATTGGACATGATAGAGAAAGAAATGAAAAATTAAATGCCGTAAAGAAAAATGCAATGATGAGAAAAGGCAATTTAGACATGGATCTTAGAAGTGTGCTACCTTTTCCTAACACAACATCAAGAGAAGTACATAATTAAAAATATTGTGACCTAATATATGATGAGATGTTTATTTTGGTTTAGATTGGTTGGTTATCAAGTAAACAAGAATTTCAATTAGAAATATTTGGGCCATACATTAAACATTTTCCAATTGAAATAAAATCAAATTACAAGAATGATTTTTAGGTATATATATAACACTATAATGTATGTATATAATTTATGTTTAATTATGCGTGACAGAAAATGAAGGTGGCCATCTGGGAAAATGAATCCCTACTATTTAGTATATTGAAAGTGGAAAAATTTATATTTTTCTAAATTATTCATAAATATAAAAAGTTTTAAATTAGGTACAATAATTAATTTATTGATTAGTTTTTGGATTTTGATCCTTAAAAATGTTTAATGTTTATAGAGATTTTTTTTTTATACTTAATAACTTAAAATAAATTTAAACTAACCGGCACGTTCAGCTTTCATTGAGTCCCAAACATTGCAGTTAAAATCATCATAACCTGCCAATAGTAGACGTCCAGATTTTGAAAATGATACAGATGTTATGCCACATATTATGTTGTCGTGTGAGTACATAGCTAATTCTTGGTCAGACCTGATATCAAATAAACGACAGGTAGCATCATCTGAGCCAGTAGCAAAGGCATAGCCATTCGGGAAAAACTAAACATAAAAATAGTACAAAACTTTTTAAATTATGAAATCAAGGATGAATATAAGTATAATATTAAATAAATAACTAGTAAATTTACTTAAAAATAATAAGTAAAAAATTGTATTGCAAAAAATTAAATACCGTGACAGCGTTGATATCAGATTCATGTCCTGGGAACGTTTGTTTGCAGGTTCCATCTCGAACATCCCATAACTGAAAATTAAATAATAATAATTAGTTTGTATTTCATTTGAAAACAATAAATTATAAATACTTTTGCTGAAGCGTCACAAGCTCCTGATACAAATGTTCGCATATCAGGTGACATTGACAGAGACATAACATCGCCAGTATGTCCAATGAATGATGAACACTGTTGGCCAGTTTCAATATCCCATAATGCACTATATAGCACAATAGTTTTTTAGCGAGAATCAGATGTGATTAAACTACAACATTTTAATATTTACCATGACATATCTCCTGAACTGGTGACAATTTGGTTATCATCAAGGAATCTACAACATGATAAGTAACCTGTGTGCCCTGGCAGTTCTCGGCTAACTCTTACATTACCTTCTCTTGTTTTTAAACTAAAAATATTACAATAAACAAATATAAAATCTAATTTGGCTTACATTATTAAGAAATTATTTAGTATACCTATAAATTGAACATATGTTGTCTAAGCCACCACAAGCAACGAAACTGCCTGATGGGGCATATGCACACGTCATCACCCAGCTAGACCTAAGTGGTATGGCGTGTACCTTGTTTGTCGTATAGCTGTCCCATACGATAAGCTTTCCATCTTGTGAGGCTGATACTAGATTTCTGGAATAAAATTGTTTATTATACAAGTTTTAAAAGTATATAATTTATATTACACATCAAGGATTGCAAATAAACGTAATACAAGAAACAGTAAAAATAAACAATTGCATATTTTAATAACAATTGTAAACCTACTTGTATTAGTATTTATAGTAATTTTTAAAAACATATCAAACTATGAAGTTTTTTTTAAAGAAAACTATAAATACTGATTACACAATTGTTATTATGACTTTTTTTTTTTTTTGAAAATCATCATCATTTTAAATTTATTTATGAATATGACATAAGATGCAGGCAGTCACTATTAGACCTATAAATTGGCCAATTTCGCTAAATATCTTTATCAATATTCATAAACATGGTTCTATTCTCTCAAAATACTTTAATTACCTGGAGTCAGAGCCCCAATGCATGGCATATATTTTGGCGAGATGTCCACGTAGGGTACGTCTCGTTCGCATTTGTATCCGGCCGACCGGTTCCATGCTGGTGGTCGCTTGCGACAGACTTGTATCGCATGCTGCTTTTCTTGCATCCTATAATACAATACAATTTTAAATCAAACTAGTTTCAATATCAGTGCAGTTGATTTGATTAGAATATGCACAATAATATAAGTATAGCTACACAATATAATAATTTTAGTAAAGTATGATTGAACGAGTTTATGATATCAAACATTTCTGTTTAATATAAATATTTGATTCTTAGTTTAAAATTAAATGTACAATGACTAATGTACTCGTCAAACAAATTGTAGAAAAGTAATAAGTATTACAAATACTATAATATAATATATATATAATACATTTTATATACAATATACATATTACAGTAAAATTTTAACAGAAAATGATTTTTTTATTCATCATTATTTATATATTCCTATATTTTATGCTATTATTCAATATAGGTACATCCTAGTAAATGTCCATCTAGAGACCAATGAATACATATAAGAATATAATTATCTCCGTTCTGCATTGCGTACATGCACCAAAATATATTAAGCAAGTATCTACAATGCATTTTGAATAACAGATAATGGTTTTAATTAAGTTGTATTATAGAATATTGAAAATAGAGCAAAAATTGAATTTTATTTATTTATTTAACACAACTTATACAATTGTTAAATATAAAACTAGAAAAATAAAAGAATAATTGTAATTTGTTTGAAAGTAAAATAATAAACTTTGGAGATATTATTAACATATTATATAATAAATAATAACAATTACAAAATATAATAAAACCTTAAACTATCAATTTTTTATAAGACTGTACAATATGTTCATACCTAGCACTCCTATTTAAATTGTAATATAAAAATAAAAATTGTCTTAATTATTTTATGCTATTATTCTAAATCTTGAATTAATTGTATAAAAGTAAACTATAATAACATAATCACTAAAAACAATTAAATGGACGTTTTCGTATTAGTGATGTTTTATATTTTTATAATTATAATATAAAATTATTAACTAATTATGGTTGAAAGTTGAACCGATATGTCATATTATATCATATTAAAACTACGTATGATTCAAATGTTTAAAGTTATATCAATCAATATAAGATATATATATATATATAATTTGCATAAACATGAATAATACTTAAACAAGAAGTTTCCATTCAAATAAATAAAAAAACCCAACCAAATATCAATAGACACTATACATTTTTTGGGAAATTGTTGAGATTCTGTCGAGGATACAACGGTGTCCAAGTATAATATTATGGTGAAGTATAAACGAAGTCTCGTGTACACCCGTATGTATCGATTATTACACAGGGCGAACAAACGAACGTAGGCGATGATTCTATATCGCAATCGGATTTTCCTATACAGTTTGAGTCCAGGGACCGAAAATTCAAAGAATAAAAAACCTATAAGTGATTTCTTTTGGTGAAACACCCTCCCATTTACAAAATATATACGGTTTTTATTATTATTTTCAGACGGGGGTAAATTGCCCAGTGTGAACGATCCCTCGTCGTGCAGTTATAGTCAAACAACGACGACGGCGGCGCACCCGCACGAGACGGCGGCTACGGGCCATATTGATCGACGGGCAACCGGGCGCGCGCGCGAGATAGTCGCAACGGCGGTGGCGGGCGATGGAGAAGAGGTCGTTCGCCGCCACCGTAAACGAGAGCAGATGAGGGGTAGCAGAGTGGAATGGACGGGGGACCGAGACTGCCGGCCGGCTTTCGCATGACCCCTTCGCTGGCCACCACCGCCACCAACGACGACGACGACGACGACGCCGCCGTTCTCCTCTTCGCGTGTCGCCACCGTATACCGCACCGCAAAAGCTCTCTGCACTACACGCTACCGCCTCCACCTACGCCACCGACCCGCTCGATTCACCAAGCGAGCGCCGACTTGTAGACGTGTGCGTGCAGTGTGTGCGCGGAGTTGGCCACACAGCCGCAGCGTATATTATTATATTTGTACACATAAAATAATGCCGCCGCGTTTTAATAGCAGCTCCACCATAGCTCCACGCGTATATATAACCACAGTATTATTATACAGGGTGATTGTTATTATTTTTTTACCGTCAAACAGGCGTGGCGAGGATGGTTTTACATGTTTAACTCTCGAGGTCTGCTGCCCACAGTATTATACTCGCTTACACATATTATACGCAATGTGAATAGGTAGGTACGTTAGGTTTCAAAAGTAAAATAAAATAAAAATAAAAATTATACACTGTAATTATTGACTGGATAAGACGTTTCGTTCTGTATTACGTGTGTTGTGTGTATGGATGTGTGTGTATGTTACAACGGTTACGACTTACGAGCGCAACTCGAGAGCGCAACACGTGATCGCACGACTACGCGATGGGGCGAACGTATTTTTAACGGAGATCAGAAGACATATTATTATAATATTTATCGACATTTAGATTGCAAAATGTATCTTAATATAATATACACCGCCGATGCATTGTGGTCGCCGGCGCGGCGGATGGGACGTTTACACATTTTTATATTATTATATTATTGCAACGACGGCAGGGACATGATATGGATAGGACATAACGGTCTTATCAGTGGTAATCAAGTGATCAAATTAAGGCCAAATAAGACCATAGAACATAAGACGTACATCTAAATAGACTATCAATATAAAAGGGCCTCAATTATTAAGATTAATAATATTTTAAATAAAATGATATATTTTTAATCAAACATTATAATATGTTGATTGCTTTAAGAGTACAAGACTATTCTAACAACCAACTTTTCAAAAAATCTAAAATTGTTTAAGTAGGTACTTAAATTCGGGATTAGATAAAGAGAAGTTTACCAAAATAAATTAAAATTATAACATATACATCGAACGAGATCATAGGCGTTTGGATGGGCTAGTTCCCGGTGGCCTGAGTGGCTGAACACCTCTAACATTTAGTAGTTTTGGCCCCAAAAGTTAAGACCCCTAGTCAGTAGGTAGCTCGTATTTCAGACTAAATTTTCTATAGAATATGGGATAAAATTATTCCGCGTTATTTATATCATAAAAGTACAACATTTTACATTTGTGTGTAAAAATAATCATTTTTAATAGAAGTAGCATTTTGGAACGAATACGTCTTTAATTTACAAAAAAATAAATTGCTTCAAATGTTGATTTCGATTTAGTAATAAATAAATTAAAAAATGTACGTAATAGGCGTCTGTCATTATGCATTGTATTAATGTTGCTAGGCATGGTAGGAGACTGCCCAAAAATACTGTAAGCACCACCAGAAATGCAGATCTGCGCACGCTTATATGAACGAGATAATAATCTAACAGCATTGGTATGGTTATTTTTCTAAGTTTTGAGTTATGTGTTCTTATTTATGATAGAGTACCTCTTGTTTATTAATTATAATAAAAAGATTTTAAAAATATGATACAAAATAAATTCATCAAAAAATATCTAAAATATTCATTTTGACATTAAGGTTCTTGAAATAAAGTATTTACTATAATGTAGTATTACAAATGAAATATAAAATATTGTATTATTATTTATTAAACTTATTATTAGAATATTAGATACTTACTCGTATGGCATTTTTCAGCGTTTCAGCCTCTTGCCTTAGTGAGTCCAGTTCATTCATTGTGCACGGCTAGGGCCTCCGGTCTCGACCGACACAAATGCTAAAAAATAATAGTAAGTTCTCAGTTAGTATTAATACTAAATATGTGAGTAAAACATAATTACAATGCACTAATAAGTCTTAAATTGTAAAATATTTCATTATTTAAAAGCAAATAAGTAATTTTTGCCCATTGCAAATCACAGCATTAACCATTTATGTAAGTATATTTTAAAAGGTACCTAAGTATACGTAATATGTATGTTAAAGTAATAAATACATACATAAATTGTATAAATTTAATATTTATATTATTAGATAGTAGATACCTATTTGTGATACAAAATATAATCAGTTGAATATAATAAGAACGCATAGGTACTTTATAACGCACAATGACAGAATACAAATTGTCATGTTTTTCATTAATAGCAGTTAAAAAAATATATCTGTATTTAAAAGTCTGAGAACCAATGCAATTAGCTTGTTTATCTATCAACACATGCAATTGACAGGATGAAGAGAAGGGTAGCATTAACTACTAGCGAAATTGACTTCCGTCAATAGACCACACGGTCTATGAATACATTCCAGCAGGCATGATAATGGGTTAGGGAGGGAACAAAATACGGATACGTGACGTCAATTATCAATGAGTTTATAATTTCATGTGTCTAGTTTTTCAAGGCCCGGAACATTTTGACACGAGAACTCAACGAACAATAATTCACTAATTTCTTTCAAAAACCTAATTCTTAAACAATTAAAATTATTGAAATTATTAGGTAGATATTGTGCACGTTAACGCCTTTATACATTACTAGAAATGTAAATCGAATAGGTTATTTTAATCAATTATTGTTATCTTTACAAGACACTAAACAAATACATAAATTAAGATAAAAATACTATTATTATGTTATACTTAAATATTAACAATATGTATTTGATTCACATAAGTATGAAGTATCTTATATTATGTAATTTATATATTTATAAAATAATAAATTGAATAAAGAATATGAATAAAATCTAACTGGAAAATAAATAATTCAGATTTAAGACTAAACATAATACATTAAATAAGTTATTTGTACTTAAAACTTGGTACAATAAAATATCTATACTTCAATGATTTTTTTTTTTAAAATGTACAACTTAAAAACTTAAAATATTTTATATTCTCTATCATACATTATAACGACGTCATAAAAATACAATTACGCAATCCCTACATTTTCCACCGATTTAACAATTATGATACATTTTATTTTTTGTTTATCATATTCAATAGTAATAATGTATAATGTATAAGAATAGCAGATATTAAAACATTTATTACATGATTGAATTTTCATCTTGCTTCCAATTTTAAATTATAAAAACTGAAGAATTGTTTGTATTACATATTATAGGTTACTTTTGTAAGATACAATATCGTAAGAATATATATTATAATATAGAAAATAAATTGAATTATTATTATTAATTCCCTTTTGAATCCCTTGTGGAGGAGTTAATTATATTATATTATATTGCAGTATATAATAATATTATAGCATCGGTTAGGTGGTTTTGGCCGGATTGGTATAACCACGACAATCCCGGTGGACGATGCGTGCACGACGGAGTCACGAATGACCCGCCCAAAAGTCTGTGCGACAATCGGCTTTATATAATAATAATAGTAATAATAATTTCACGACATGCGGACATGGCAAAATAATAATAATAATTTCTCTGCACATAAAATAAAATAAAAGGGGCAAAAATTCAAGTCTTCAGTGCATGATTAACTCACGCATTCTGAAGTAAGGGGTGTAAAGCGCAAGCGCGAAGCCGATCGATCATCGGGCGCAGAGCCGCGTGCTCGTTCTACCTAACCCGCCGCCGGCCGGCATCACGCTCATGTGTTCGTAAAACACACACGCGCGCAGGCGCACGTCTCGCCCAAAAAACGAACGCACGCGCGCTGCATACACACTAGTTAAAATAATTATGCAAAATGTAATCATTTGTTTTATTTTGGATGTAAAATACTTAAAACTATGTAATGGACGAATATTGAGATTTAATACATAATATTATGTAAGATTATTTCGAACATTGATGAAGAACGAAGATTTATGTTACACAAAATCGACATTAGACCATTTAATATTTATATAAGTTTTAACATTTGAGCCGTCATTGTTAGGCACACTATTTTTTAAACACAACGTTTCACACTATAGTTGTGTTCATTAGGCGGTCCGTACCGATAGTCGATTACCAATTAGTTATAATTAATAAAATTAATTTTCAAAAAATATTCTATTCACAATTCACATCCATATAATAATGCACATCATAGTATGCTTCAACTACTAGTCCCAGAGTATTTGTTAGATAATACTAATAAAATAAATGGAAAATTAAGACGGATAAAAATCTGTGTCTCAATTCTAGTATAAGTACTGTTAAAAATTATTATTTTTGACTAACAAATTTAAATATTTAATTCATCCAACTATACTGCAAAATAGATGGACTATAGCCAAACGTAATATCGATATTTTGGACATGTACAATGTATAGCGAATATCTCCATTAAAGTATACAATAGCACCAGTATTTAACTTAATGTCAGTTATAGTAGTAGTATAAAATACACATTCGCACTATTGCGTAACAAATAAAAACATCAATATCAAATAATAATAATTAATTTTACTTTGTTGTCAAAACATATAATAATAATAATAAATAATAACGTGATGCGTTATGAAGTTATCAGTAATTTATGATATTTTAATAGAGCAAACAGGTAAGAATATTGTTAGGGAACATCTAAAACACAATACATGGTGACACAGTGCCTTATATAGTTTACTTTGTTCGATTATGTTCTTATTCAAAAATATTTAATGTAACTATCATGGAAACATGTCGATGACACGATGAAATGAAACACCACCGTAATCACTTAACTTGAGACGAAACTCAACATTTTGGATTTATGTTTTATAGCTTACATTTAGTAGAGGCGGAATGACATTCTCTCCCGACGCGTTATTACATGCGTCAAACTATAGCACAAGCAGTTTTTTTTTACATTGGCCATATGGTCGGGACATTTATAACTTTATTTATTCCAAACTGATACAAAAATAAAACTTTCTTGTACGCCTATAGAAGTGGGGATATTAGGGGAAATAATATGGGAAAAATGTAAAAATTATTAATGATTACTACATTATATTGTTCGTACATAGAGTGTTTATAATATGTACTGTGTAGTACCAAATAAGTGTGATAGTGTATAGACAGTATGTAGGTACCTACCATATTGTTGAGTATATAGTATAGTATAATATTAGTATGATTAACTCTGTGAATGTTTCCTGAACACGATAATATTATTTACACACATAAGGAATTGGTAAAAGACACACCACTACGCATATAATATATTATACTTAAGAACTATTAACTAATATTTTAGCTAGATGACCTCCGATTGAAATGTGGTCTTTGGGAGGTGAAAGGCAGTGCCAATTACACATTTTGAGATGCTTATAAGTGATAACCTTTTGGGTGTAAAGGCGAATACAGCTAACTTTTTTTTTAATATCGACGAAAACTGTTTCTATACAAATTCGAGGAAACTATTTTTTTTAATAACATTTTGTATAAAAAAGTTTTTTACAGAATGGAAAAAATTAGAGTAAGTTTAAATTTACAAATAATCTGCAGTTTTTAAAGACATTTTATTTTTTAACCATGTTAATTTTTTACTCGAGATACCTTTGATATTGTAATTATAAATTACTATAGGTTCAAAGACAAAATCTAAATAAACAATTTTATAAAATTATAAAATTTTGTTTTATCTTATCTCACAAGTAAGAATAAGTAAAAATTAGCTTACTTTAACTATGTAAGTAAACAAACCTTTTTAAAAATTTATTTAGTCTGTATCTATGGGCTTATATAACTTATTAGTTATTATTAAAAAAAAAGGTGGTGTTGAGCATGGTGAATTGAGAAAAACTCAAAAGGGGGATATGTGTAAAAAAAAAATTGTGTACCCACCTGAGTATTTAACTGTCATATTGACGAAGATATAATGAGAAGGGGTAGGTACTAATAAATATTTTCTTATATAATAGGGACTCCGTCCCACTTCAATTCAAGCACTGACAGAAAGGGTTAAATATTTTAAATTTTCTCAAAATGTGTATTTCAGCCTTCCCTCTCATCTCCCGACTATCTCACTTCAATCTTAGGTCTTCTAGTTGAAATACTTAATACCTATATAATATAGGCGACAATAATAATATTGTGCTAAGAGTTGTACGTTGAAGTCATGAAGATGCATCACTGAATAGTTCCTTCAAAAGTTCAAACAAGTCTTCTGGTCACGTAGTCTTACGAGTTTCCGTCCGTATAAAATAAATATTGATAGATTTTGTACTTATATTATTATGTAATAAAGAAAAAAGAAAAGATTTGTACGATGTAAAGTATCAGCAACGACAATTGTCGCAGATTACGACTTCCATATTATTGTAATAAAGAAATATAATAATATACTATATAGCTATTTAATAGTATTGTCATTATAATTACAATATTATTTCACGGACGTCATAAAAACACGATATTATGATGTGTCGGAGTAGAGGGTAAGCACTGAGCGCATACGAGTACAGCGAAAAAAACGACGGCACCCCATTTGTGGATGGTTGGTGGGGGGAAAGTATTTGACCGGTCGGCCACTCTTTGTTTTATATACTCGCGAGATGCTGTAGCGTTGTCTTTTCCGAGGCGGCTAGTACAGTAATATCCGTATAGAACATATTATAAACGCACACACAAGCACATACATCGCGCGCGCCAAAGGTCAACGTTACCGTCAGGGCGCGGATGTTGCCGTGGCGACCGACCGACGTTTCCTCCGGGGTAAACCCACCGCGTGTGCAGCGTGAAGGCGACACGGCACGGTGGTGTTCTCTCTCGCTCGCTCTTCTCCCCCGCCG